AACGATTGAAGTGAAACCCTAAATAAAAATTGTATCAGCAGCAGCTCTCCAATATAAAAACATGTAAACCCTAAAGTAACTCTCTTTCTCTCTATCTATCTATCTATCTATCTATCTATCTATCTATCTATCTCTCTCTCTTCCAGGTTTTCATCTTTCGAAATGGTGGCGTGAACTATCCACGCTGGTGCAAAGAGCTCTGTGAACGCTTCATACAAAAACACACTAACAAAGTAAGTAATCTCTCTATATTTCTGTGATGGGGTATTATGTACATTATTTACATTATTCGGACACAAGGACACATGGCACAGTAGATAAAGGCGTTGGTTAGATCCAGTGATAGGACCCAAGGATTGTGAGTTCAATACCCGGTTAAGGCAGTGGAGAACATTCAGACGGAAATTAACAGGAGATAACAGATAACTGACATCCATTAAACATGGCACATGGAACTAGAACAGTCTACCCCAGTGAGCAAAATAAGGGGTTCAGTTCGACATTCGAACCACCTGAAGAAGGCCGGAACGTACAACGGCCGAAACGTTGTAATAAATATGGCGACAAAGATGAGGACAATAATCCGAATAATGTATATAGCGTACATAATACCTAATCTCAGAAATATAGGGAGATACTGAAGGGTCGAAACGTAACAAACATGGCAACAAAGATGAGGACAATAGTCCGAATAATGTAAATAATGTACATAATATCTCATCTCAGAAATATAGACAGATACTGAAGGGCCGAAACTTTGTAATAAATATGGCGACAAAGATGAGAGCAATAGTCCGAATAATGTAAATAATGTAAAGTAAGTAATATGGACATTTCGTGGTGTGTGCTATTTACTTTTAAAAAATGAAACTCTTGTTAATTTTGATTTAATAAATGTTATCTTGCATTGCAAATCAATTTGTATGTTATTTTGCTCATGTACTCTTTTTCACCACCATTATTTCATGTCCTATGAAATGATAGCCGTACGAAACCTTAGACATTTAATTATTGAAGTAGCCAATCACAAAAGAAGTAGTATCACCCAATACTAAAATTAACTTAAATCCTTCAGCCATGTTCCTCGTCAGATCAAGACTTTCAGATGGATGGCCTGTGTGTTATGGGAACCTGCCTTCATGGACTAAATAGACTCGTCTCATGACTATATTATACCTCGCAAGAGGACTGTAGACATATGACGAGTTGACTACTGTACTTAGCCGTCAGACGGACGTGCAACACTTCTGTATTCGTTCGTTTTGTTAATAATACGTTTTCACTGAATTGCTGAGTTCGAGTTTTCTGTCCGACCTCTTCCGGGTTCACAACACTGTGTGTCTCCAAAATCCTTCAGAAATATGTAAACGGACAGATGATGAAAACATCTTCTTAAATCAATAGTTAGAAAACGGATTTGGAGAGGGTGAAGCGTGTAGGTCTTACCTATGACCATTCTTCTTCGTAGCGCGTGGAATCTACGGAATCACGAAATAACAGAAGCCACAACATTTTAGGACTTTCAACAGCTACAACAACTAAAATTGATATCACATGTATCAGGAATTAGAACATAATCAAGATGCTGACGGTCTACACTATTTCAAATAAAGGATTAGCAAGGAAACCCCCAACAATACTGGAAAAAATCATGAATTAATGGAAAAAAAATGTTTTAATACAAGGATTTATTATTTATAGATTCCATCGGAAAGTGGCTACTCAGTCAATGAGTGATAAATGTTTCCTTATAAGGAAACGTCTAATATTGCTATCAGAGATGAGGAGAACAGATACTACACTTTGATCCCAGCTCGATGTTCAGGGAGTGAAGAAAAATGTAACTCAAATAGCATGGCTGCTCGGTCAATGAATGCCGAATGTTTCCTTATAAGGAAATGACTAATATTAGCATTACTATTACATTTGAAAGGCCAACACACGTGGGTATTGAACAACTTTCGGTATGACCCACTTCACAAAAACTAAGAAATTATAAAGCAGAATATTTTTGTCTTCTTCGTCCTGATGAGAACTTTTCCTCACCCACATCGTGCATCTATCTATCTATCTATCTATCTATCTATCTATCTATCTATCTATCACAGTTTATTCATAACCTATCTATCCCATTCTTTACATATTTATCTATGAAAAAAATTCTCATAGTTAACCTGTATAAAAATACATTATTTATAAATGTACAAGACAATAGGAAAACTGTAATCGTAGCCAACGCGTTTCGTCCAATGTGGACTTTTTCAAGGCAAAAACGAAATGAATTTATTAAAGTAACTAATAATAACAAAACAAAATGTCCTTAGCAACGGGAAGAATTTAGAGAACGCTATTTTCATACTGTTAACTGAAAATTACGTCAATTAGGGAAAATCCTCGAGAGTGCTGCCATTGAATATTACGCAAATATTAATCTACGTCAGGGCCTTTTCCCTATTTCACCTTTCTTAACAGGATTACTACTCTCCCAAACAAACGTACAGAACAGTATCAAGAAATCAAAAGAAAATGGTTGAATCCGTCAACACAATAATAAAAACAATATCTCTACACAGTAATTGATGTAATTTTAACAATTAACAATTTATGAATATCGCCTGAAGATACCAAAACCAGTTTATTGATAAACAACTTAAGATATATATATTAAGATATTAAAACACAAAGTGTCACGAATCCATAGAAGCGTTTTGGGAGAAAGATGCAGTCCTGTATTCAGCAAAAAGATATAAAGATACTTGTTATTTTTTTCAACACATTTGAATCTTTTGAGTTGTTACATTATTTTCTTTTACATATACTTGTGCGGTATCACCTTTGCCCCGGATTCAACTTGCACTACAGCCCGACGCCTGATTGATTTCGTCCACCTAAGATCAAATCACAACGTGGGTAGGTTAGACTAGAAATCAAAGCAATCACTTCGGTAACCAGACGTTGGAAGCGAGCTGGGAACGACAAAGCTTATATCGAATCTAACCAGATTTCCATCCGAACCAACCAAGGATTATATCGTCACAGGATAGCACAGGAGCAGGACCAGGGCGACGTTACAAGTGTGTTCGTGCAGCGTTACAATTTTCGTATGTTTCCTTGGAGTAACGTCCATCGCAGACAATGGCCGTAGGACAACTAATCGACATTCGAGACAATAGTGTCTGGGCGTGATGAAAATCTGATGCAATCACGGATAATGCAATATTTTTCAAAGCAACACAAATTTCATCATACACCCCGTAAATAACTGTCTATATTTATGAGATGAGGCATTATGTACACTATTTACATTATTCGAACTATTGTTCTCATCTTTGTCGCCATATTTATTACAACGTTTCGGCCGTTGTACGCTCCGGCCTTCTTGAGGTGGTTGGAATATCGAACTGAACCCTTTATTTCGCTCTATGGGGTAGACTGTTTTAGTTCCACGTGCCATGTGTATTGTATGTCAGTTATCAGTTATCTTCTGCTTAATTCCCTGTCCAAATTCTCCACCGCCTTAACCAGGTATTGAACTCACACTCTTTGGGTCTTGTCACGGGATCTAACTAACGCCTTTATCCACTGGGCCATGTGTCCTTGAGGACTCCAGCCCTCGCTCCCACAAAGCATCCCCACACCATAACAGAGCGACAAACATTCTCCACTTATTTTCTTTATTTCCTGATTATTCACCTTCTGTAACAGAAGTTATTGATCTCTCTGCACCCCCACTTAGCCCCGAAGATCTAAATCGATTTTTCAGATTTGCGAGCGACACTGGTTGCTGTCGATATGAATTAAGTTCAGCAGTCAACTCGAGCAATTTTCCTTATAGTTCTTTTGCTCTCAATAATTACGTCTTTATCTTCAGCATCAGTTGTCAACTTTGTTGATCAAGCTCTTTTTTTTCTGACAACATTTGCACCAGTTTCTGACTGTCTTTGTTATAAATATTCAACCCCATGTCTAACAAATCTTCAAATACTTGGCAATTTGTCTTTGAGAGTAGCCTTGTTTTGAATAAAATTTCAATTTTTCCTCTAACCTCAATGCTTAGCTGTTTTGATTTCGATATTTTGCGTAAATTACTTCAAAATTAAAAACAAAACTAAGAAAATCCTGCCGTGAAGGCAATCATTTAGATTTTTATCTATGGGGCCACCTAAGACAATTGGTTTAGTAATAATGCAAAGTGGCTTCATGAACGTGTCACGGGGTCTGCGAAAACATTCGACACTGTGTGGTAATATTTGAAAGAAGCAAGCGGAGGACATTTTGGTTGTTGTGCGTTTCTGTGTTGAAGTACAACTCTTGTTTTGGTGTCAGGAAACGAAATTTTGTAAAAATGTTTGTGTGTGTGTGTGTGAGAGAGAGAGAGAGAGAGGGGGGGATGTTTGTATCGCAATTAGTATTTATAAAATAATTACGCTAAATCTTTAACCATTAAATCTATCGGAGGGCGACATTTTCTGGCAGATAAAAAACAAACTCATACGGATTTTCTTTGTCGCTGCTCACTCACGTTATCTCTAGTCGCTACAAAGTTATATTCAACATCTGAATCTCGGGAATAAAGATTTTAAAGATCGACACGAATTAAGACAGGTATCACTAACAGATTGGATCATTAAAAGTAATTATTTATGTAAAAAAATAAATAAATAAATACACTTTTCCTAATTCAAGAAAAGACTATAACGCTCAAAAATTAACAATCACTGCATGTCTAGAAAACTGGAAGTCAAAATGGCTACAGTTGAAAGAAAAGAGAAAAAGTGAGTGTAAAGTGAAAAAAACAAAAACAAATAAAGAACGAAAAGGACAAATAATTATGACACTCTACACGTACGCACATTAGCTCAGACGGCTGCACGGAGAGAGAAAAACTTGGACCAATAAAGAGTGCATATAAAAAATAATCGAAAAGTATAAACAGTCATTTGCTAATAGCCTCTGACGAATGGACGGAGTAATTGCCGGAGGGTCCGTCTACGAAACTCTTGAGTTGGGATGCTGAAAGTAACATCAATTAAAGAATTCTCTCTCTGTACTGCTACTCAAATAGCAAACACATTTCCTGTATTCTAATTTTTCTGACACATTTGTCCAAGTGTAGTCCAAGTGTCCTTGTAAAGCCAAGAGGGATTTTGGTAGCCGATTTGTTAATTGTGCGAAGGGGCGCCCTCTAGTAACAAAATTAGAGATGAAATGAAACTTCAGGATGATAAAGACGAAATGAAAAGATTTGGAAATAATAATTTTTGCAATATTTATTGAGTCACTCGATCTACTAACGTCTTCCTTTTCATGTTCTTTTATCGTCTGCGTTCTTTGAAAATGTTTTATTTTTGATTTTCTCCTGTTGAACTTTCGAGTCTTCGATGAAATAATTAATGGAAATACAAAATTTTAAAAAACAAAACAAAACAAAACAAAAAAGAAGAAAAAAACGGAGCTAAGACTAACCTGAATCTTCGATTTCATTATCAGATTCTTTATGGGTACCTCCGAGAATATGACTCCGTAGATTTAAATGAATGTAATCATGCGCGTACACACACAGGTACGTACATATCTATATATATATATATATATATATATATATATATATATAGATAGATAGATAGATAGATAGATAGATAAAATATGTAGATATATATATGTACAAATATTTATCTATCTATCTATCTATCTATATATATATATATATATATATATATATATATATATATATATATATATATGTACGCGTGTGTGCGTCTTTGTGTACGTAATGTTTTGCAAATGTTTCCGCAGCATTCTTAATGACATGAGAGCAGAAAAATAATGGTTTTGTTTAAGTTTAATTTTATTTTTATTCCTCGATTTTTCTTTTGCATTCAGAAATCGCTTTGAATATGAAAAAAATATCTTTGAACAAATATTAAATTTTAAAAAAGATTATGGGAGAGGAAACGATTACAAAAGAAGAAAAAAAAAAGATTTGGTTTTTATGTCATTTTGCAAGGTGCCATAGATTCGTTGAGCGATTTCCAAAAATGCGAATTTAAAAAAAAAAAAAAAATTCCAAATTTTTTTTTTCTCATAAAATGATTTAAAAAAAAAATTATAAGAGAAGGCAAATATTTTAATTTTGTAGGTACTCAAGTTTCAGGTAACTGGGGGAAGATATGGTGAGGAAAAATAATCATTGTTTTAAAATCCCAAAGTAAGGATAACGGAAGAAAAGTTATGAAATTTAGAGAGACATAAAGAATTATAGAATGGCAAATTTTGGGAAAATGCCGCGAGTTTAAATGTCGAACACACACACACACACACACACACACACACACATATATATATATATATATATATATATATATGTAAGCAAATATATGGATATAGATCCGACAGTATGAAGAAAATATACAGAAAAACAAACAAAATTCTTAATAATATTATAATGTATTAATGTTAATATAAAAGTCAACGTCGGACGTTTCGGTCTATTTTAGACCATCTTCAGGACATTTTCATTAAACATTTTCTAATGTTAATTATGTGTAATGAAAATGTTCTGAAGATGGTCTAAAATAGACCGAAACGTCCGACGTTGACTTTATATTAACATTAATACAGCATAATTGCATATTAAGATTTTTGTTTGTTTTTTTCTGTATATTTTTCTTCATATATATATAAATATATATACACACACAGCGGCCAGGTTAGTTTTGTCAGCGATACCAGACTTACTATTGAGGCAGGAGTAAATAGTGTCGTCAGCATAGATGCCAACTTGGGAACTGATGACATCGGGTAGATCAGTAATGAAGATAAGGAACAGAGTAGGGCCCAGGGTAGAGCCTTGGGGAACACCTGAGTCTGTGGGAAAAGAACTGAAGGAGAATCGGTTAAGGACGATCTTCATTACATGGTTTGACAAGAATGATTGTATTAAGTCAAATAATCGATCTGAAATTCCGTATCCCTTAAGCTTACGAAGAAGGACGACCTGCCAGATCCTATAAAACGCTTTCGGGGTATCTAGAGCCACGGAACGAGCTTCTCCGTTATTGTGGAGTGTATGGTAAACAAATTCAGTTTTGACCGTGAGCACATCAGCTGTAGAACGGGCAAAGCGGAAACCATATTGCTTATCAGAGAGCAGATCATGGGATATAAGGTGATTAACCACTTCGGCATTGATTAAAGCTTCAAAGACTTTGCCAAAGAGTGGTAGGAGATTGATGGGACGATAGCTAGATGGGTCAGAAGGGTCTCCAGAGTTCTTAAAGACAAATACAATAGATGAGGACTTCCAACAGGATGGAAGCAAGATTCATTTAGGCAGTAATTATATAATTTGGAGAGGGCAGGGGCCAGTTCAGAAGCCCATATCTTCAGGACAATGGCTGGTATTCCATTTCCTCTGTTAGCCTTATGGGAGTCTAATTTTGAAATGATGTTCAATACCAACGACGGGGTTGTGTGCAACTCGCTCAATAGAGCCTCGGTTCTAGTGGGGAAATCGGGTGTGGGTACACCGGATGAGTCGAGCGTTGAGTTGGAAGAGAATTTCCGAGCAAACCACTCAACCTTATCAGCTGAGGAGGTCAGGACCTCAAATTGGTTGAACAAAGGAGGTATTGAATGTTTTCTGTTGAAACGCCAATAATCCTTGGAGCTGAATTTACTAGATGCAATACGTTGTCTCATTCTATCAGCAAATAGTGACTTTGCTTTATTGAGGACACGCTTGTACTCGTTATAGGCTGAGACAAAGAGACGTCTGTTGCGATCTGACATGTCACTACGATATAGTCGGAAGAAGTCATTCCTATGGGCAATAGCATCTGAGCAAGCAGCAGAGAACCAAGGGGACGAGGGCGATTTAACCTTATATTTCCTAGCGAGGATGAAAGCCTTGATTCCAGCTTTTACCCAGGAGGAGATCTCGGAAGCGCATTCTTGAACGGGGAGATTAAAGACCACATCCCAGGGGACATCGCGAAGGAAATCCCAGAACGAGTCCCAGTCTGCTCGTTGATAATAGAAATATGTTCTGTTGGTAGGAGCTTCTTTGCTGGGGGTGGAGTAGAAGGAGATATTGACAGACATTGCCAAGAGGGCAGAGCTGCGAGGCACGACAGGACTCAGGGATGGAGGTGAAACAGAGATCGAGAAGTGCGGGAGGGATTGTGGAATAGAAAAGTTAAGGATTTGTATGCCATCAAATTCAGTTATAGAGTTTTTAAGCTACTTGGTATGCTGGGCGTTTAAGTCCCCGAACACTAATATATGAGCAAATGGATGGAGAGAGATAGCCTTGTCTATATTGTCACAAATGGTTTCGAGTACACCACAGTCTTGGGAGGATGCAGAGCGATAAAGGAAGAAGAGATAGCTTACAGCATTGAGGAGAGACAGGCGGAGACACAAGTATAAGTGGTCTGGAGAATCGAGAGAGAGTTCTAGCCAGTGGGAGTTCGTCTTTGACGTAAACTCTAAAGCCGTGCATGTGGGTTTGAGAGACTTTTCTAAAGAGAGGAAGGTAACGGGGGATCGAGAGGTCAGAGGAGGGAATAAACGAGTCGAGGTTGGTCTCGCAGAGAGCCAATATATCGGGAGATTTCTCAATGAGGAACAATTCTACATTGGAGAAGTTGGTTCGAATGTCACAAATGTTAAAGGGTTTAGGTGATTTTTAAGAGCTGGTTTAGATTTGCTTTTTTGATCTTTATTTGTCATGTTAGATAATTTTGGTAGCGAAATTGCGAAGGCCTGAAGTAGAAGTAGCAGATGGTCATTGTCTGTGATGTGGACAAAAAGGAGCTGGCGCATTCTGCAACATAATGTGGCCTCAGGGTTGCCCACCGGAGGTGAATGAAAGGGACACTTTTTCCATGCACGACATGGCACCACTGTTACTCCGGTATTATACAACTGTTGATCTGATCGGCTGCTGAAGACGCTACACAAGAGTTAAGGCACGTAACTACCAGTCAGGAACAGCAACCAGAAAATTGTCAACAGCGTACCCTCAGAATGAAGAGGCATTGCCACAGACTGCACACATCACAGGCGAATCACGGCAGTACGAGTACTGAGGTTAGAGAGAAGGAGAGGAAGAGTTCCGGGAACCCCTTCCTAAACAAGAAACAAGGGGTGAGCCTATACTCTTGTTCAAGAAAAGGGGGAGAAGTAATGGCCGGGAGGTAGGAAAACCTACCTACTCCTATTTCACACGCACAAACACACACACACACACACACAAACACACATATTAAAAGCAGCTTACAAGAAGTCCAAGCTGGTAGTTGACTCAGATAAATCCTCAGCCCTTTGATAGGTCTCCTTTTGAGTCCTGCTGGGTTGCTAACGAGCCTGCTAACTCGAGATATTTTCGACAGGGATACTTACCGCGGGATGGGGAGAGAAAGTAAAAGTTTTTTTTCCTTCTTTAAATTAAGTTTTAGTATAAGACCCATTGCCTCTTCCTAAAACACTATTCAGCTATCGAGCATTGCTCAATCCTTCAATCTAGACTGATACGATATTTGGAAGAAAATAAACCAAAGGCATATGTACGCCTCTTTCGTTAGCCAGCGATCATATCGTTCATTTTGAAGGAGTTAACGAGGTAAAAAATTCAAAGAATATTTATCCAAACTTTTTGAAACAATAAATAAAGAAATAAAAAAAAAATACTAAAAAAGCATAACAAAGGCAAACAGAGGGTAAATTAGAATTAATTTAGTATTGAAATTCGAAGACAATCCTTCATTGGAGATTGGCACGATATTCAAGTGAATTGCATGGCTATTTGGAAGAAAATTAACCAAAAGCATATGTACGCCTCTTCCGTTAGCCAGCGATCATATCGTTCATTTTTAACAGATATATTTCCCTAAAATTGCTCCAAAATATCTTGAAATACGAAAGAGTGCATTTATTCAGTAAAATCGCCATTGGCTTCAACCACGGCCTCCAGACTAATTCAGAATCTCCTCCATCTCTTCTGTTAGCGAAAAGAATTTAAGAATAGAACTGTCTGCAGTTCATGCCAGTTCTTATGAAGTTTCTGAGTTTTCAACTCGCTCCAGTCATTATCAAGAACGAAAGAAAAGAATATCTTTTGGATCTTTTTCACTTTTCCATGTTCGAATTGTCACTTCGCAACTATCTTCGCCACCAAACAACCTATTTTAATATTTGTACACCTCTTCAAAATTTAGAAAGACCATGTAGAATTCTTTGCGTTGTGATAGTTGTAATAGGTTTTGTTTGTGGTCGAAAAAAAGACGTTATGGCAATGGGCCTAATAACTAAAAGCTTCGAATATTGTTTACGTCAAATTCGGGGGATTATTTTCGATTTTGAAAGTGAACTAGAAATCAGGAAAATATCTATTCTTGTTCGTTGCTACATAATAAGATTACACATCAAAGGAGACGCCATTCTCTTCCAAGGACTTTCTTTCTTCTTTCTTTTCTTTCGTTGATTATTTTTTCTTCTTTTCTTATATTTTTCTACTTCTTTCTTTCTTTTTTTCTTTCTTTTTTTCGTTCGTTCGTTAATTAATTTCTCCTTTCTTTCATTCACTTTTTCTTCCTTTTCAACCAGCTCTCGTTTTTCTGTCGTTCTTTCTATTCAAGTTTCTTCTTTCGTTCTTTTTTTCTTTCTTTCTCGAATTTCTCCTTTTTTCAGCCATTCTTCCTTTCTCGTGAAGCCACATTTTACCTTTTTCTGTCTTACTCTCTATTGAGATTTCTTTCTTTCTTTCTTTCTTTCTTTCTTTCTTTCTTTCTTGTCTGTGCTTTTGCTTTTCTTTCTTTGTTTTGTTTCCTTTCTCTTCTTTCTTTCTTTCTTTCTTTCTTTCTTTCTTTCTTTCTTTCTTTCTTGTCAGAGCTTTTGCTTTTCTTTCTTTCTGTTTTGTTTCTTGACTCTTCTTTCTTTATTCCTTTCTTTCTTTCTTTCTTTTTTGTTTTCTTTCTTTCTTTCTTTCTTTCTTTCCTTCTTTCTTGTCAGAGATTTTGCTTTTCTTTCTTTCTGTTTTGTTTCTTGACTCTTCTTTCTTTATTTCTTTCTTTCTTTCTTTCTTTTTTGTTTTCTTTCTTTCTTTCTTTCTTTCTTTCTTTCTTTCTTGTCAGTGCTTTTGCTTTTCTTTCTTTATTCTTTTTTCTTTTCTATTCTTTCTTTCTTTCTTTCTTTCTTTCTTTACTGTTTATGACGGAATACCGCGCCTTGTTCTTATTTAATACTGCTACTTATTGTTCGCCTCGTTTCCACGGAGTCTATGTCGACAATAACCAGTGCAGAACATAAGGATTGAACTCACAATTACGATATATATATATATATATATATATATATATATATATATATAAGGCAGGATGTGTGTGTGTAACGAATGAACGGTTGCAATTTTCGACGGTTTGCACCAAAATTTACATGCATATGCTCCAAATTAGCGGGAAGGCCAAGACCGACGTTGCATTTCCCAACTCTCATCGACAGTGGAAAAAATCGATTTTTCATGCTTCTACGGCAGTTTTCATGTAGTTTGCAGCCATTTTGTACTGGCCAGAGTGAGAGCCACTAGCTGGCTGCCACGAATATGCAGGAAGATTCTATTGGCCAGCGTGAGAGCCAACAGTTGACTGACACGAATATTAACTAGCATGCAAAAAATGTCGATAGCTGCATTCGTCACAAGTGGGAAAAATTTAAATCTGCATGGCATTTTACTCCAATTGGCTCATTCGCTTGCTTAAACTCAACGTTGATTCTGATTCCTCAGAACTGGGATGGGTGTGAAAAAGTATTTGTTGTTAACATTCTTTTTTCATTCGGTTTTTCCAGTTACGAGTCCTTTTTTTAAAGCTGATTGTTTTGTGTTCATTTTGTTTAGTTCTTTTTCGTAACAGATTTAATGTTTAGTATGGAGCTTAGAAAAAATTCGCATTGTGAGATAGGAAAGAAGTAAGGCATGTAGCAAACATCAGCATGGCAAAGGGCACTCTTTTTTAAAGGCAAGGAAGGGCAAAATATTTCAAGTCAAGTGATAGCGATTTTTGAATCAAGCACGAACAACGCCGGGCCATACACACACACACACACACACATATATATATATATATATATATATATATATATACACACAGACACACCTATATATATATATATATATATATATATATATATATATATATATATATATATATATACCAGGTGTAGCAGCAAAATTGTCCAAATCGTGTAATAGCATAATTGACCACCCCACAAAATATTTAGCACATACATAACAACTAAACTGATTTTCTTTTTTCCAGGTTTTCAGATAATACGTTTAGCCATCTTGACACCATTTGTTGTAAGAATCATTGAAAAGCTCCTTGATTTATTCAGCTAGAAAGGGAACATATTAAAATCATTTTGAGTCAGCCCCATTATGTCTTCCCAACTGAGCAATGGTGAGAGGAAAAATATCATTCAGGCCTTCAGTCATGGTAGCAACATTCATACTCTGGCTCCCATCATCAAAGTCAATTCAAGAACCATAAAGAAAAGGGGTGAATAAATTTAAAAAAGAGGAAACAGTAGAGACAAAAACTGGATCAAGAGGTCAAAACACCAAGAAAGAGCATCATTTCAATTTAGAGCTAAAGAGATCAATTAGAAAATATCCAACTCAATCGATAAGGTGCTTGGCACGTGAGAGAGAAATTTCAGTTATGACAGTTTAAAGATCAGTGAAAAAAGAAACAGAAAATAAAATCGTACGTGAAATGTGTGAGGTACATTGTTAGTCCAGGATAGAAAATTAGAAGGTTAGAGAAGGCAAAGATCATCTTGAGTAAGTTTGAAACTTATCCTGAATAATATATATATATATATATATATATATATATATATATATATATATATAGTTGAAGGTAATTTCAATCCTTCATGAGTTTCTGAGAATTAATGATGAATACGTCATTTTCGTTTATGATCAATTATATTACCATTCTTCTTTTTTAAGCTTGGAGAGTAATTATAAATTCTTATTGCTCAAAATAAAGTCCAATATTGTTATAAAACCTCAGAGAATTCCAGTAAAATATCTTTAATCATTTCTAATATGCAACGGTTCAAAGCTTGATTTAACAAATAGACAATTTTTAGTTTTGCATTTTCTGTTACACCTGGTATATATATATATATATATATATATATATATATATATATATATATATATATATATAATGTTGACGTGAATAATAAATACAGAATCCTTAAAAACACATCAGGTCAGATAGTAATAAATTTATTTCATGGAACACATGTCCATCTTTTCAGACCAGTTTTCATTAATAAATGGACTTCAATTTACTCAGACGCAAGGAAAAAGAAAAAAGAAGAAAAAAAGAGAAAAAGAAAAAAGTTTTTAATATTAAAAGCGAGAAGGGAAAAAGAGGAAGTAAAATAAAAGGTTTTTGTGGGGAAAGAGAAAGAGAGATAATCATAGGTTGGGGAGGGAGGGAGTCAGAGAGGGAAAGAAAGGAAACAGTGAATTAAGCATAGTAGGCAGGGTGACCCAGAAAAGACTTTTTCTTCCGGAACTTAAAAAACAGTGTAGGGGGAGTGATCATATACAAAATCGATACTTGAAATTGTCTACTCATTGTAAGCAGGAAAACCATCATCATCGCATTATAACGGTTACAATTACAAACTGATAATAATGATAAAATAATATTAATATTATTATCATTAATATTAATAATATTTGACATCAATATAATGAAATAACACGATTAATGAATTAAAATAATTAAAATTTATAATGGTACTTATCAAAAAAACAATTAAATTAATTAAGAGAAAGAAAGAACCATTTTAGTAACTAAAATCCTAAAATATGCAAATGTGTTAATATATATATATATATATATATATATATATATATATATATACATATATATATATATATATATATATATATATATATATATTAAATAAATATATATATATATATATAAAAAAAACATATACATATACACACACACATACGCACACATATATATGTGTGTGTATGTGTTGATGATAATAATTTATAAAGAAAGAAAAAAATAATTCATAATTTAAGATGTAGGCAAGTAAACCACATAAATGATTATATGAAAAAACAAAAAAAGGAATGCATGCATGTATACATGTTAATACACATAAAAACACATAACCGACGCTTCAAGTATAAATTCTCCAAAATCTTTGCTATTAGGGAATCTTAAATCGGTTCTTGTGTCTACACTTGAAGATAAGTTCGTTTCGTTGGTTCAATAATTCATTAGCATTAATCGTTGTCACCCAGGAAATATTTGCATTCAGTGACCAAACAGCGTTAAAGCTCCTGAAATATATGTATATATTTCCAAGAATTTTACACGCTATTAGTTATGATCTTTTTGTTCTTAGCAACAAGATGAATAGTTATTAATGTTTAAAACCATAAAGGCTCATCTCAAACACGTTTTTTAATAAGGTATTCGATTTTTATGCACTTTTGTGGTGTGGTTAACTATTTGCCCATAGCTGGGACCCTAACAGGTGCTACCACCCCGGGTCAGGGTGGAAGTGGGAACACTAGCAATTAAGAGGCGGTTCCACGCTCCTCAAAATATCCTAATCAGAGGCCTTGCTGCTCGACGTAGTTTATCGTCATACCCAGGACGGGAGGTTGAATAAGTCCGATAATGAAACACACCATTGTCTCACACCCCTTTCTATTTTTGTATATTTACTGAATTAATTTTCTACCGGGATGTAGGTGGTTTGGGTTAGTTTATGTTCTTGGTTATCCTAACGAGCCTTCCAAGCATTTCAAGTTTATCTAGCAGTTGCAACAGTTCTTTGTGACATACTTTATGAAACAGTTTTCCTAAATCTATGAAACGTAGGTGGATATCCTATCTATCTATCTATCTAGCTAGCTAGCTAGCTATCAGTTCGCATTTATCTATCTATCTATCTATCTATCTACTAATATCAATGAACAATCATGTTACATCCAAGCAGGATTCAATAATTCTGCATTTAAATATAACGAAATCAAAATAATCGATTCTACTGTATTTGGCCAAAATGCTTTCATCGATATTTGCCCATTCCATAGATTCCTGTGTTATTTATTTATAGATTATATGTTTATAGATTTGATAGAATTTAGCTATTTTATAAATTAATAATGTGGGAACAATTCTATCCTCGGCTGAAAAGATCTGCGAATTTTAAAATGATTCATGCGTTTCTCGTGATATAAGCGTTCTCCATTTTTTTTCTTCTTCTTAAACAATAGAAGCTCTAAAAGCTCAAAGAATTCACGCCGGTTTCATTTTTTTGGTTGGCTTTCATTTAGCGTCTTATGTTTAATCAAGTTTCTTGGAATGACGAAGAAAGCTCTCAAAAATGAGAATGATTCAAGGATTCTCTAATTAAATAGGGTGGCGAAAAAAGGGTGAAGAACGTCGGGTGGCGTAAACGAAAAAAGAAAACACTCTGAAAAGGGGAGAAAAAGCGGTGATATTTAAAAAATGCATGAAACATTAATGCAAGAAAAGATACAAAGTGAATAAAGGTATTGATAATAACAACAGTAATCAAAATAATAACAATAATAAATAATCTCAAACTCTTTGTGAAAGACGACAATGACTTGAAAGGCCTCCTCAATACTGTAAAATGTTTCAATGGCCATATAAGTATGGGCTTCGGATTAGATAAATGTGAAAAAGTAAATTTCAAGAAAGGGAGAATGAAAGAAACACACTCAATGGATCTAGATTTTGTCACAAAAATTGGAGAAATGGAACACAGCCTCTAAGTACCTAGGAATTAGCGAAAGCGATGTTATACATTAGTGAACAAGAACAAAGCCTATAAGTAGCTAGGAATTAGCGAAGGCGATTTTATATATTAGGGAACTGTAACAAAGCTTATAAGTACCTAGGAATTAGCGAAGGCCATGTTATACATTAGGTAAGTGGAACAAATCCTCTAAGTACCTAAGAATTAGCGAAGTAGATGTTATACATTAGGAATCTGCAACAAAACCTATAATATCCTAGGAATTAGCGAAGGCCATGTTATACATTAGGGAAGTGGAACAAAGTCTCTAAGTACGTAGGAATTAGCGAAAGCTATGTTATACATCAGTAAACTGGAACAAAGTCTCTAAGTAACTAGGAATTAGCGAAGGCTATTTTATACATTATGGAACTGTAACAAAGCCTCTAAGTACCTAGCAATTAGCGAAGGCCATGTTTTACATTGGGGAAATGGAACAAAGCCTCTAAGTACCTAAGAATTAGCGAAGTCGATGTTATATATTATCCTATAATACTTGGAATTAGCGAAAGCGATGTTATACATTAGGGAAATGGAACAAAGTCTATAAGTACCTAGGAATAGCGAAGTCGATGTTATACATCAGTGAACTGGAACAAAGCCTCTGAGTGCCTAGGAATTAGCGAGGGCGATGCTATATATCAGGGTACTGGAACAAGCCTATATGTACCTAGGAATTAGCGAAAGTGATGTTTTACTTTAGGAAACTGCAACAAAGCCTATAATATCTTAGGAATTAGCGAAGGCTATGTTAAACATCAGTGAACTGGAACAAAGTCTCTAAATACCTAGGAATTAGCGAAGGCGATGATATATGTTAGGGACTGGAACAAGCCTATAAGTACCTAGGAATTAGCGAAAGCGATGTTATACATCAGGGAACTGGAACAAAGCCTATAAGTACCTAGGAATTACCGAAGGCCATGTTATACATTAGGGAACTGGAACAAAGCCTATAATTACTGTATTACCCACACTATGTGTTAAAGAAATACAAAGAATTGTACTCACAAGTACAGTCCACACCATCTAAGGAAAATCATTGAAACTATTGATCACGTTATCTCAGGATGTTCAATATTAAAACTCATTGACTACGGCAACAGCAATTATAAGCGAGGTCAGTATCTGCAATGGAAGGTCTGTCATCACTTCAAGGAGAAAAAATAGATGCTAATTGTTATGAACATTATCCTGAGTCTATAGGTGAGTGGGAGTAGATATTACCATCCTCTAGGGTATCCGTATCGACACAGATTGATGAAGGCAAAGAAGTTACCCAGCCATTATTATCAGACAGAAAAGTAAAAGTTTGCACATTGGTTGATTCGATCGTACCAAATGGCAAAAAAAAAAAAAAAAAAACAATGCGAAGGTTTTTGAAAAAAATTGTATATCGAAATAGAAAAAAAGGGTTTGGAAATGAAATGGTAATCTTTATAACATCAACAAAATACAATACTCGCCAGCGGCGTGAAGTAGGTAAACCACTGCTAATGGTGGACTACATAGACACCATATTACTCCCACTTGCAATAGTGTACAACGTATTTATGAGTACTGGGACAGAGCCATTAGTTTTCATAGGTACGTTATATAAGACAAAGAATGGATAGGTATAACTATACAAGAATTGCTAATGGCTGCCTTTGTTAGACCGTTGTCGAGTAGATTCAATATGACTTATGCATTCTGACCCCCGTTACGATTACAAAAATCAAGAGGATGATGACGATGATTGTTATGTCCAGGAGGTCGAAACAGTCACATTTCATCCGTATTCCAGTTTTAAAGTGGATGTTCCAATCAGAGCGCTCTTTTCCAAGAACATCTTTTTTGCGGAATAGACTCCCATGCTTTCCTGGAACATATTATCCAAAGACAGAAATAGCGTTTTAAATCACAAATTAAACAACCCGTTTAAAAAACAAAACAAAACAAAAACACAACAACAACAAAAAAAATCATGAAAACAATCTTTACAGATGTTAATATTTTGATGGAAATATTAGCAGTTAGAAATGGTTAGGATGCAGCTGGGTTCCCTTCCGAAATCGACCCCGTAGGCCTCGACCGCGGTGATGGAAAGCGGCCGGGTGGCGTTACCATTTTCCCTTTTAAAATGAGGTAGTCGTTGATTTGGGATGCAACCTGTGCGGATACATTTTCGGACGGTAATTTGATCAGGTCCGTGGTTGATCCGGAGTCCGTCGCCCAGAATGCAGAGATAAAAAAAATAGTTAAATATTCTTCTCTTGCTGATAATTTTTTTTTATTCCTGTGGCAGTGGAGACTTCTGTGGTTATTGGCCATCGTTCGATGGCGTTCCTTCGGAGGATTGGCGCCATAGCGTCTCGATTAAGGGACGAGCCTCGTGAAATGGAATGGCTCTTGCAGCGTGTCTCAATGGCGATGGTTCGAAATAATGCTTTCTCCATCATTACGGCTGGCAGAGGATAGAAAAAAAAACGTTTATAATTACTTTGTTCAAACTTTTTTTCCATAAATAAATTTCTCTATATTTCACGGTTAAAAAAATTACCACTTTCCTTATAAGGAAACATTCGGCAATAATTCAACGACCAGCCACTGTTACTCTGCCGGTTGAAATATATCAAAATCTTTCTGTCAAGAGTAAGTCGCAATTAAGTTTAAAAAAAAAAAAAAAAAATGATATAACCAATTATTAGAATAGATATTTAAAGAAATAAATCCTCATCCTCACCGGGTCTGATCTTAGGGTCACCCACCGTTGAGAACCTCGCTAGCTCCTTTCACATGTCCCGCTAGGTTTTCATTCATTTGTATTGTGTCATGTTCAAATATACCTTGAAGAGCTCATCCTAAACCACAGCCGATAGCTCCTTTGTAGACGCTCCTTGGTCACGGTCATGGGCACGCAACCGTTGATTCAATCAAGGAAACCCTCTAACCTGACCGTTGGTTTCAGCCTAGAAAGCCTTCCGCCTAGCGATCCCACAGTCTTATTGGGCTTATAGCTGTTGAAACAGCATGAAGATTCACAGTATAGAATGCATAATACCTGAAGTACTCATAGATCTGGGATAAGTATTAAGAGATAAGTATTGTTATATCATTGTTATTCTCCACTCTCCTATATGGATGTGAAACGTGGACACAGTTGGGAGAAACATAGAAAAGGATCCAAGCGTTTGAGAAGAGATGAATGAGAAAACTTCTTAGCATCTTCTATTGGGAACATAAAACAAATGAATTTATACGGAAAAGCGTTGAAAGTTTTGTGGGCCACCAGGAACTTCATGCCAGTGTAAAACGCAGAAAAATGGCGTCGTTTGGACACGTCACAAGGCACGACAGCCTGTGTAAGACCTTCATTTATGGCACTGTTTAAGGTAGACACAGGAGAGGACGTCAACGGAAAAACTGGTTGGACAATGTCAAACTGTTGTAACCTAGAAAGGGTTATTGAATGAGGAATAACCAAAACGGGGGTTGGGAATGAAATGGTAATCTTTATAACATCAACAAAATACAATACTCGCCAGCGACGTGAAGTAGGTAAACCACTGCTAGTGGTGGACTACATAGACACCATATTACTCTCCACTTACAATAGTGTGCAACGTATTTATGAGTACTGGGACAGAGCCATTTATTCATAGGTACTTTATATAAGACAAAGAATGGATAGGTATAACTATACAAGAATTGCTGATAGCTGCCTTTGTTAGACCGTTGTCGAGTAGATTCAATATGACTTATGCATTCGGACCCTCGTTGCGATTACAAAAATCAAGAGGATGATGACGATGATTGTTATGTCCATGAGGTCGAAACAGCCACATTTCATCCGTATTCCAATTTTAAAGTGGATGTTCCAATCAGAGCGCTCTTTTCCAAGAACATTTTGTTTTGCGGAACAGACTTCTACGTGGATGGTTCTTTGGAGCCTACAATCTTCAACTCAACGACCAATTGTTATTGGTTCTGTTTATCCTCATAATCGTCTCTTTTTTTTACATTTATATCACACAACTCTAACATGAGTGGCTCTTGAGCCTTATATTGGTTGAACATTAGTGAAAAAAGACGGATCTTAAATGAGATATGTAGATAATTATTAAGACTTAAGTAGGTAATTTCTGGAACACCTATAAAATGTAATAAAGGAAAACATGAAGAAAGGACTAACCTTCAAATTTAAGAAGACAGAATGTATGGTTTGTCACCAAGAGGAACAAACCAGAATGCAAGAAACGAAGTGAAGATGTCAAAATCAAGCAAGTACGAAAATTTAAATATCTGGGAAATGTTTTAATAGAGGCTGAGTGGAAAATGTGTCACCGAAATTCGAAGTTCCATTAGAATCGTGAAAAATGTCTCCAAAAACCTAAGCATAATATTAGGAAGCAAGAAAATTGAGTTATAAATAAACCAAAGTGCGTTTAACTTGTCAGTAATATCAGTACACCTTATACGGCAGTCGATGTAGGGCAAATTTCTCACAGATGAACAGGAGACGTGAGAGGAGGATGCCTAGGAAAAAAAAAATGAAAACAAAACGCATTTATTTAGATTCAGAAAGAAACAGGTACAATTTTTCGGGCAGATGACGAGGAAAGAAGGTTTAGAAAATTTAACACTCACGATTTTGTATAAATAGATGGCAGAATAGGGAAGGGAAAGGATAGCAAAATAGAAATATTGCAAAGAGCTACAAATGATTGGAAGTTGTGGAGAGCAATGATTGTCCACGTTCTGAAGGGACACGGCATAAAAAAAACTTTTAAAGAGATAAGAGATATGGATTAAATATTTACTATCGATTGTTTCACCAGTGGATCATATTTAAAAGCATGTTTTGATACCAGATGAACTGAATTAGCAAAAACAACATTAGAAAACAGGAATTGGTTTAACAAGTTTTTTTGGTACAGGGAATCCTAATGTAGAATAGAAACTAGGGAAGAGAATGTTTAGTCATAAATGACTGTTCTCAGCAAAAACTACTGTTGCTACTGCTCCTCCTGCTACTCCTCTTGATGTAGGTCTATCTTTATGTCTTTCTTCCGACGGCCGAGTCCAAACTTGGAGGGAAGGATTTTCCCTCAAAACAAATATGAATTTTTATTCTATCGATAGTATACACGGGAAAGTTTTCAAATACAATATATTCCTACACATCAATGTCAAAATACAGTTTATGACTTATCAAGTTTTTTTTTCTTAAATTTGGCAACCATCTCCGATTATTATAAAGTTAAAACAGTATCTAAATAGGTTTGGTTTGGTTTACGGCATGGGTTATTTAAACCCGACAAGATTTTTATTGCTGGTAATATTTTTTATTCAAAAATATGTTATTGTTAATATTTTTCCAAAAATATATTGCTGATAATATTTTTTTCAAAAATGTATTGCCGGTAATAATTTTTCCAAACAGCTTTGCTGGTAAACCTATTTTTATACTTTCATAGCGTTGTGACCCCTTTTGTGGGGGTTAACTATTTGCTCATAGCTGGGACCCTCACAGATGCTACCTCCCCGGGTCAGGGTGGATCTGGGAACACCAGCAATTAAGAGGTTGTTCCACGCTTCTGAAAACCTCCTGGTCAGATGCCTTGCAGTCGGGTGTAGTTTATCTTCTTAGCCTTAATGACTCATTTGGAGGGGATCTAACCCCTCTGCAGAGATGCAGTCAGCGTATTCGGAAGCCCCATGGCGGAACGAATTAAAAGTGTTTAGTGTTAGAAGGGATTAGTATTACAGAGCCTAGAATTTAGAGATTAATTATTAAAGAAGTTATATCCATTAAAATCTTAATATAAAAAGAGGTAAGTACTAAAATAGGTCAGTATTTCTAGGAGACTTCTTGTGTCCATTGCTATTTGTCAAAGCTCTGATATTTTTGCATTGTAATGGAAGAAAGCAATTAACAAATATGAGTGAAAAAAGTCACCTTTCCTTAATTACTGGATGATTTGCAAGTATAGGCCAAGAATAAAAACAACGGGAAGCCTTGATGGAAATGGATCGGAATAGCAAGGAAGAGATCAGAATAGAAATTAGTTAAGGAAAATGTGTAGGACGAGAAACGCAGAGGAAAAGTCGTTATTAAATTGAGGTGAAAAGATGAGAAAATATCTTGGGATTTTAGAAGTATGCAAGGGAAGTAGAAGGAGGGCGAATAAAAGAAAGAAAAAAGGAAGAGTAGAGATTCAATGGAGAAGAAATAAAGAATGGAAGGAAGGAAGGAAGAATGCAATGAAGAAAAGAAGAATGAAAGAATGGAACTATGAAAAGAAAGAAAGGAAGAAGAAAGGCTGAACAAAGAAAGATGGAAAGGGAGGAAGAAAGAAAGAAAGAATGGAAGGAAGGAAGGAAGAAAGATAGAAAGGAAGGAAGAAAAAAAGAAAAAAAGAAAATGATAGAATAAGAAACTATAGAAACAACAATGAAAAGAACGAAAGAAATAAAAAAACGAAAGATTGAACGATCAAAAGAAAGAAAAGCCGCACCAAACGAGAAAGAGAACGACGTAAAGAAAGAAGGCAGACTATGAAAAGAAAGAAAGAAAGAAAGAAAGAAAGAAAGAAGTACTTCTGAACAAAGAAAGAAAGAAAGAATGGAAGAAATAAGCATGTCAACAGAAAGAACGGTGAAAAGTAAAGAATTTTGGATGAACAGAAAGAAAGAAAAAAAGAAAGAATAAAAAACTTCACTTCAATAGAAACCTTACGACTCAAAACTTCAAACTGAAGAGACGAGAAACAATAAAAAAAAATTTTTAAAAAATGAGAGGAAGACTAATAGAGATGAAATAAAAAAAAAGATCTGGTGTTGAAAAGTCCTCGGCTCGACGCAATTCCTAGAAACCCGGCAAAACTTCACAATTTATTACATTAAATAGAATATCCTTTCACATTTGAAGATGAAAAAGAAACATATTTCTTTGGACTTAACGAAAATTTTACTTGGAGACACGATCGAGTTCATTATATTCACTTACAGGCTTTTAGTAGCCTTAAAAAAGATATGAAACCATCTCTTCTACCCTCCCGCTATGGGTAAATTACAGGGCAGACCAGGTCCTATAGTATTGGTTAGTCAAGGAAAAGTGAGTTTAAACCCCACCCGGAGAGGGTTAGGATCCGTCAGGTTACCTTGCCCAAGACGCACCACTTCTACTACGGATACAGTACTTGTGGTCTCCCTACAACCCTCAGGTGTCACAGGACTGGTGATCGAAGTATTTTACCTCATTATAACATTTGGAAAATTGTGGATACATATTCTGTTTTCGATACAAATACGAAATATCGTTTTTGACCTATTCACAATAAATAAACTTTTCCCGTCTAAAACCAGTTGCAAAGATCTGAAAAGATGATGTAACAAGGTCAGGAATATAAGGATAAACATCCACGTGTATAGCCATGATTTTTTCCTGGGTAACTCGCGCAAAATGTGGCCTCGCATTAACATATAAGATCAAGAGACATTTACGATTGATCAATGTTGGGTACACTTTCTGCAAGTCCTTGTACGAGGCGTTCATTTGACGAGAATCTTTTCTTTCTTTTTATATGCCATGTCCATTCAGGGCGTAAATGACGATGACTCTCCGCCTCCTTCTATCCATTACAAGTCTCAATAATTTCCTTCCCGCTCTTTCCTCCCCCAGCCCACGTTCTGTCAACCACTTAATTAAGACCGCTGGGTATGTCATGCGTTGTTTTTCCTTATCTCTCTTTCCCTCTATTCGACCCGTGAGTTTCAGATTCTCTAGAACATCCTTCCTCATTATGTGTCCCAGAATCTTCAGCTGCCTCTTCCTGATGTTAAGTATAAGCCTTCTTTGGATCCTCTTTAAGACCTCATCATTGCTCATATGTTCGGTCCATGTTATCCTTAGCATCCTTTTGTAGAACAACATCTCTGACGCCTCGAATTACTTCTTCATCTGTGAGGAAATCGTCCAACATTCGCTGCCTCTTCTTGATGATAAGTATAAGTCTCCTCCTTTTTTTTGCATCCGCTTTAAGACCTCATCGTTGATCACACGCTCGGAGTATGATATCCTTAGGATCCTTCTGTAGAACCACATCTCCGACGCTTCGAGTTCCTTCTTCATCTTTGAGTAAATCGTCCAAGATTCGCTGCAGTATAAAAAGACAGATTATGTAACAACTCAAGATTCTTTTCTTTGTTACCAAAGTAATTTGTTCGTATTAACGTTTCATATTGGCTTAACACCTCATAGACGACACATTTCATATCTCACCAAACACAGAACGTAACGTTTTTTGGCTGCTGTTATGATTCGCAGATGGATTTTTCGTTTTCAGTCGATGCTTACCATTCTATGGTTATAAAGAACTCACTTTTCAACACCGGTGAAGATTCTACCCAGCATAGGTCGGCTAGCAAGTGTACGCTTAAATGAAGGGCAGGGTTAATTCTGAATTAAGCTGGGAAGCAGTTATATGATGAGGGTACCGTCTGATCATTGTTTGGACACTCTACCGAGTACGTGAATATGTTTTTTTTTTTCAATGTTTGAAGGTTGTATTCAACAGTCTTTCTATTTCCAGAGTGGACATTTCTTGCCGTTTTCATTGCTAAAAAAAGCCCTTTTGAATTTATACAGTAGACAATAACTGATATAAATCTGATCTAAACTCATTTTTAAAAAACGATTCGGTAAAAGTGTTACCCATTCAGATATAAGCTAATCTTCAGAGAAATAGTAATTAGAATGTAAAAAGTTCATAGTTATTTTACTCTAAGTTTTGAAAAAGATCAGACTTTTGCATCAATTGTCCTCTAGAACTGTTACAGAGTTATCCTAGGGATTTCCGGCATAGACTGCATCACAAATGACACAATGCGAGACACAATCAAAGAAAAAAACAATTCCATTTAAAAAGCCCATAATCACAGCTATGAAGAAAATGTTGAAATAGAATGGTCACAAGAAAAGAGTCCCTTCCATTATCATTCTAAAAGGATTTAGTAATCATTTCATATCACCCTAAGCAAGGCAATAAAGCTACTAAGGCATAAACGAATGTTACAAAATATAAGAAAAACTACTATTAAGAATAGAGAAGACAATAAAAGAACAAGAATTACGAAGACATTAGATAACGATTGACATTGCATTTAAATTTTTGAAGATCAAAGGCAATAAAGCCACTAGGACGCAAGCAGGTTACTGAGTGTTAGAGAATATGAGAAAATATACTACTAAGGAGAGAAGAAAATGAAATAACAGGTGTTAAAAAGACAGAAGATAACGATTGACATTGCATTTAAATTTTTAAAGATCAAAGTTGACTGGGAAGAAAGAAGCCGGAAGAGAGTTCCACAAGCGAGAAGTGCGATAGAAGAAACGGTTAGCATAGAACTTACGGTAACATTCTAGCCATTTCAATCGTAAAATGATGAAAGATTGCCGCCAATCTAGTTTTGTGCTTAAATTCACAAAGTCTAGGTACCATAGAGGAAAGTACATCAGAATAATTAACTTACAAGTATTTATTGAAAAGACACACAGAAGCCACCTTACTGCGGTGGAAAATCACTGAAGCCGAGATGCCTGATTAGGATCAATGACATTGCAGATTCTTCTTTGATGTAGATTGTTGCGATTTTGAATTAGGATATATATTATAATGTCTGTTGTGGAGTAACTGAAGACCCCCACAAGATGGAGTGGTTTAAGAATATTTAAACAGCACTCTCTCTTAATGAGCGAGAGCAGTTAACGATTACTGTTAACTCTGCTCGTCGACTCTCTGCCTCCTGGCGGAGAGGAACACAGACGAGGCTATGCTAAAGTGCAGAGTCCCGTCTGGGGAGGTAGATAGCTACCCGGCACCGTGTATACAGGGTCTAACGGCAATTTTTGCCCGAGCCTACAAGCTCGAAACGCCCCACGTAAAAAGCCGGCCTTGTGCCACATCTCGCCTTGTGGGAAGGTTTCGAGTAAATACCGAGAAGGTAACGATAAGATTTCTTTAAAGCTCCGCTAGTCGGCCTCTCTGCCTTTGAGCGGAGAGGAACCCAGACAGGGTGATGCCTACGCGCAGAGTCTCATCTAGGAAAGTAGACAGCAACCCGAGGGGAATTTTTGCCTTAGCCTACGAGCTCGGAAATCCCCATGTTAAAAACCGGACTTGTACCACATCTCGCCTTGTGGGGAGGTCTAAGTAAATACCGAAATGTAACGATTAGCTGTTTATTACATTATTCTGTGTTCTCAACTGTGTACCATATTATTCTCCAGGATAAACTACTTATTTTCTATATGTGTATCAACCTTTCCTATTTACAATCCAAAAATATCTATCCTAATATATGAAAATTTAGTCATCTCCTATGTAGACTGCATCACAAATAACACAGTGCGAGACACCGTGAGAGAGGTCCGTCGGAAGACCTCACATCTAACACCAAGAGTAATTTCAAATGTTATGGTCACGTTACAAGATCCAAAATACTTTCTCATTACCATCTTACAAAGCGTTACTTTAGGCTTACTAGGAAGAAGCAGAGAGAAGAAAAATGAGCTGACAATTCCATTGTTAAATAATAGATTCATACTGTTATTTTTTGGTGGCAGTGTATTTTGGCTCAGACCTTCTGAGACTGACCTTTAAGGTCAGATGGTCGACAAAATAAAGATGTCGATTTTAATTGGCTGCTCCGAACGTGCGAATGTTAGAGCGATAGAGCGTGATTTCAATGAGTTAAGTTTTACACGTCGAGGAATGCGGACGGGTTATTTTCGTGTCTCCGGGATCTTGCGCCCCAGTGGTGGTGATAGAGCGACCCCACTGTCTAGTTAAAAATGTATACTTCAACGTGATTAATAATTAGATAAGTATTCAAATTCCCTTTGTTGATGTCTCATTTATCTTCGAACCAAGATTTCGGCACAAGGCCGAGATAAGAATGCAACATCTGAGAGAATCAGGACTGTCACCCAAGAGAACCCCAGAAGAAGGACGCAATACCTAGAGATATTTGGAAGAAACTGGCCAGGGAGTCAACTGTGTATCGAAACTACAATCACCCCCCTCAAAGTGTTAACAACAAAAACCTGAAAAGACTTTCTAACACCCATTATAATGATAAAATCTGTTTTTTAAATGGTTTCATTTTCGGGAAAAATAAATGCTCAGGTGAAAGGCCGGAGTATACCTGTTGGGTGGATTGTATAGCTGGCCACTCGTATTCGAGGTTACTCGTTTACTAGCGCAGCTAGCCAATCCCTTTTGCAGACGCTTTCTCAGGCGCATTTGTGTTTATTCCAAACCCAGAGAAACCAACTGTGGTTTAAACTGAAACTATGCTGAGCAGACTTTAGTTACTGTTTCTGAGAAAGAGCGTGCTATCTTGCGTGATCAGCAAGGCCAGCACGCTCAAGATCTCGGCCACGATTACTTGTGACTTCGTGCTAGCAGAGCTATCGACGGCCTCTAAGGGTTCCGATTATCCATTTCACTCAAAACAAGACCATCCAGAAGAGTTGCAGAAGATTCCGAAGTCGTCTCGAGGCTGTGGCTGAAGCCAATGGCGATTTTATTGAATAATTTTACTCTTTAGCAGATATTTTTCTGTAATTTGGTTAAATA